AAACTAATAGAACATATGAATGCTTACCTATAGTCTCTGCTTCTGGCCTGGGTGAAATACAGCAGGTGTGTGTGTGTGTGTGTGTGTGTGTGTGTGTGTGTGTGTGTGTGTGTGTGTGTGTGTGTGTAAGGCCATGTGCCCTGATTCTCTGTGTCTACTTCCTGCAAACTCCCTTTCATATAACATCACAGTCCTCCAATCAGGGTTTCTGACCCAGCTATCAGGTACAGAAAGCACCTGTCTGTGACCAAGTATCTTATTTTATCAATTAGTTTTATTCAGAGGCTGCAAGGGAAGGGTTTCCAGTCTTCAGTCTTAAAGAAAACCTAAACTGGGAGAAATAGGGGAGCTGCCATTGCTAACTTCTACAAATCCTAGTTGCCTGGCTGTCCTTGACTACAAACAGTTTCTGAGCCACTGACCTGGAACAGTCATTCAGATCAGAAAATAAGAATGAAGTCAGAAATCCTAATCTGCATACAAATTACAGGTCAACCGTAAGCACTGCAGCTATTGGACCATCACATCACAACAGCAGTCCCCACATTCTTCAGTACAAGCTTCTGTTAATGATGTAAATGGAAAATAAATGTAAGGAACTACTTCACCTTTCCTCTTATAGGCCCCCCGTTGCCCCTGTCCCTGTGCTTTTTTTCCCCTGTAAACGGGTAGCTCTGTTAGGACATACTGTTCCTAGGTATGCACAAGCACAAAATAATAGTTTGAATTGATATTTCAGTACATTTAGCTTATAAATGTAACTCACACCCCTGAAAGGACCCACTGATTTGGTCCCAAGGTTTCTTCCCTATTAAGTACACTAACATCCTAACAGCCATACACACAGTCTCTGACAATCTTCTGGCTCAATGATTAGTCTAGGGGTAGCCTTTATTGATGATTTATTGAAAACTTGAAGTTGGATGGGTGTAGGGTAACTGTGGGATACTCCATTAGCATTAAGTAGTAACTTGAGGACAGCTATCTTCCTTCTAAAGATTCTTAGCACAGTTCTTGCAGCAGCAAATGGTGGCCTGGGCTACACAGGGACACTGTAAGCAATGTCCACTTTCAGTACAGCAGCAGTAGCACACAGCCACTGGGATCTCACACACTGGTCTGTACTCACAATGACACTAGATTGTTTGACTTCCTCCTTACAATATCAGCCAGACATTTCTCAAGTGAACTCTTCAGAATAGATCCCGAAAAAGAATTCCCTCAGTCAGCTCCAGTAAAGCTCAGCAGAATGGGCTCTCCAGCTAGAACAGCTGGGACCTCGATGAAAAATGAAGAAGCACAGCTGGACTGCCCAGAAGGGCAGCAGCCCTTCAGGCTGGGATCTTCTTCTCCTGGACAAGAACCCCTCTGCTCCAGGACTAAAACTCTCCAAGCCACCAGCTGGGCATCCTCCCCCAGGGATTGGCTGGGCCCACTTAAATATTCGTACTGTAGATTCGACTCTCCCAGCCCACTACTTTCCAGAACCATCCAGAAGCAGCCAAACCTACAGTCTGTGAAACTCAGAGCCGACCAGGCAGCTCCATTGATTACAGAAGAGCTAAAGAACTAAATTTACATAACCTAGCACCTATCGAGGAGGGTGCTCCATGAAAATTTTCTTCAGTGTGCTGAGAGAACATTTAAGGTTCTTCTTCTTTGTTGTGCCCTTGTGGTGTATCTGTTATTTCTGGTAATGACTGTGGTCTGTCTCCTGGATTTGTTTGCCTGATCCAGCTTTAAGAACGGTCTGGATAAAAGCGCACAGATGTGTCCCAAAGGAAATAAGTGAATGGTATACGTCAACTGTGATTAGTGGGGAAAAAACTCACTGCTGCCATGGTAAAAACACATCAGTTTGTGGAAAGTATGAACAGGAGCCAGGCACTGTGTAGTTTTGTGATAAAAGTAATACACCTTATATGGAGGTAATTTAATAATTCATATAGTAAAAAATAGATAACCAGCCTGTGGCTTTAAGAAGCCAGGTTCCAAGATGAACGGCCCGTCTGCTCAGAGGGAAGCAGTGGAGAGTAGAATGCCTGTCAGTGCAGGACCACGTGTATCCGACGTCCCAGCGCCCCAGATGACATCACCACGATGTGGAGAGACGGAAGGGGGGAACTCTTGCTGGAGCCGCAGCTTTAGAAGGAAGAGGCCGGTTGCCAGGACAACATGTTTCGCACATGCGCTTTATCAAGTCTTTGGAACCTGCCTTCTTAAAGCCACAGGCTGGTTATCTATTTTTTACCATATGAATTATTAAAGGCAGACCTCCATATAAGGTGTATTACTTTTATCACAAAACTACACAGCGCCTGGCTCCTGTTCATACTGATCCAGCTTTAGCCTATGTTTTGACACCATAGTACACCATGTGCTGGTATCTGCTTGCAAGCAGGACCCTGATTCACAGTCAGCAATGGTCAAGCTGGCCAAGGGTCCCTCCCACTGTTCTCCTGGAATAGGAACGAGATGGGGTACCAAACACCTGAATTATGGAGCAACCCTGCCACCTTGGCTACTCACATACTTCTGGTGTGTGGCCCACCTTGTGAAACAGATGATTGTCCACACGATCAGTCTTTTCAAATGGTTTGCTGTGAACATGAACAGGGTGCAAAGTTCTTTCCAGCAAAGATGTATATCAGCTCTTTCTTCCTGTGAAACAACGGCAACACTGTTCTTTACAAGTTAAAGTTTAACCAGTGGTTGCCAACCAGCTCTTCCACTTTCCCTCTGCTATAGGTTCCCTGAAATGGGCTCTTGCCTCTTCTCTGTTCTAGGCCTACCCCGAAGGGCATACTCCAGCAATAGTCCCTACATGATGGCTGGCAGGCTTCCATTCCCATCAACCTTCTCGCTCCAACCAACCCAGCCCCTGATTTATAAGGGAAAAAAAAGCCTAAGCTACATGACACACCCAGGGGTGAGGCAAACAAGGTGGATGGAGGAATATCCTCACTGGGACATTGTAATGTTCTAACAATAGCTCACGCTGCTGTAATAACACACTGATCAGAGGTAGCAGCCATTTGGCTGCAGCTACTGATTGACAGAAGTTTTCCAACTTGTTTGTTTCAACAGAAGTCGATCAATTAATCCACTGGGGGTACAAAGAAAGAGCAAGATGGGTCAGGAATGTGTCCAGGAAAGGGGTCAGGAACATGTGAAGTGGTACAGGTAGCAGGATCATAATAACTGGCACAAGGAACAATGGACCAGAGAGAAACAGGAACACAGGTAAAACTCCAATGCTGCGAGAACCCTGAGGTGGAGCTACATAACCTCCCAACAGCTAGCATAAGTTGGATACTAATTTCTGAGGGCTGCTGGGAGACACACATTGGTGAACACTGGAACTACACTTTTCAGGTCTGAGGACCAAAGTACCATTAGCAGGTGCTCTGGTTTCTAACATGTTAACTCTGACTACAGCTGGTGTATGGACCACAAACATCTCAGCTTGTTACTTTTTATCTGTCATATGAGCTCACATTGGCTCCTTTAGGGGGCAAACCTGTGGGGCCACCACTGGGCAGCATCATGCATTAAAACCTATACTTCATTGCATGGATTACTGTAAATGATGGACTTCCACACTACCCTGTGCTTGTAAAACTAATAATACTGCATTGTATTTACAGGCACATTTCATAAATCTGAAAATACACTTTTACATTTTTGCCTTTTAGTTGTACATTACAGTTAGATCTAATTCATGATAATGTATTTCCTTTTGATAGTGTAGTGATAAAAAAAGTTCTTCCAACAATCTGATTTGATGTTAAACATGCTTATCAGCGTGTATTCTAGTTGGCATAAGGGTTGCCTTTAAATAACACAATTGCACTTGTAACTTGTGCCATGCAGCACTGAGGACGTCAGGTAAAACATAGACTTTACTCTGTTAATATACACTACTGTATATACATGTCACAGCTTCTCTGAATGTATCAATCATCTGTATTGTGCTGGAGATACATCAATATTTTTACAAATGAAATATGTGAACATTCCATCCAGTCCTTATTTTTGTTTTAATCAGGTTTACGTTTATGTTTACATGTTCCATGGATGGAATATTAGGATTTTTGGTATTAAATGACTTTGGATTTAGATTTGCATTTGTGTTTAGATTCGCATAGATTTGAGTTTAGTAACTATAGCTAAGTTCAAGTTAACTGACCATAGAAATTGAAATATAATTGTGCAGTCCACTAAGTTTAGGTAGATTTGTGGAGAACCTAAAAGGTGTATGGGCTCACATCAGATGTGATGAGGTTGATTTACTAAAACTGGAGAGTGCAAAATCTGGTGCATCTCTGCATAGAAACCAATCAGCTGCCAGATTTTATTGTCAAAGCTTAATTGAACAAGCAGCAGTTAGAAGCTGATTGGCTACCATGTACAGCTGCACCAGATTCTGAGTGCTCTAGTTTCAGCAAAACAACCCCACTGTATTCATACCATTTGGATGAAGTTGAATGAAACATTGGGGCTGATTTGGGTAGACATAGTTTTCTTTGCAAAGTAAATTTTCACTTTACAGGAAATGTTTTTATTTTTTTAGTAAACGGGGGTATCAATTTGCTTTGCAAAGCATACCAAAAAATATGCAAGAAATTTTCAAAAATATGATTTTTAATTGCATATGTTTGGATCATAGAAGTTAGCACAGCGTCACCTCATTCACTGAGATAAGAAAACATTTCCGTGAAATGTGAATGTTTACTTGAAAAGAGAACATGCTTTACTCCTTTAAATCAGCCACATTAAAGTGTGTGTGAACCCAAATACTGAAGTTTTGTCATTAGCACCCTTTTTGCCTTGTAAATTAAGTCATGCAAGTTTTTTTGTGAGTAAATAAAAAATACCCCTTGATTTGATCATTTGTGGGTCAATGGCAATGAGAGATCATGATGACGTTATAGGAAAAATTGAATCCCCTCCTAATATCTTAATATCTCTTAATATTTAAACTTTTCATTTTCTGCAGGATGAAGACTTTACTGGTTTTAGCAACAGTTATTCTTGCAGCTTCAGCTGCACATTTTCTTGATGAAGAATGGAAAATCTGGAAATCTAACTATGGTAGGTGAAAGTAATTTCAGTTTTACTGCAATGAATATTATTTAGAAAATAAAATAAATATTTTACTTAACCACTTCAATACTGGGCACTTTTACCCGCCTCTTGCCCAGGCCTATTTTCAGCTGTCAGAACTGTCACACTTTGAATGACAATTGCACAGTCATGCAACACAGTACCCAAACTACGTTTTTATCATTTTCACACAATAGAGCTTTCACCATTGGGTTTTTTATTGTTTCCTAAATAAAAAAAAATTGTGGAAACATTTTCTTTGTTTCTGTTATAAAATTTTGCAAATAAATGATTGCTCTTCATACATTTAGTCCAAAATGTATACTGCTACATTTCTTTGGTGAAAATAGCCCAAATAAGTGTATATTATTTAGTCTGTAGGAAAGTTGTAGAGTCCCCAGCTATTGTATATATCTGAAAATCGATCAGTCCTGCTGTACTGACAGCCTCATTTCTAGAGGCCCAAAAATCTCAGGACAGTACAGCTATCCCCCAAATTTCCCCTTTCTGGAAAGTAGACAGTCTGCAGCATTTACTAAGAGTCTTGGCGAGTTTTTTGAAGTTGTAATTTTTTGTCATAATTTTGTGGAAAATGAAGAAATTAAAAAAAAAATGTTTTCACTATTTTTTTTTACATACTCTCACCAGTGCAGTACAGCCCCATCATATAACTGGTGTGGTGGTGATCAGGGACACTGACTGGTGACAGTACGGAAAAAAAAACTCTTTTTTGTTTACCAGAGTAATATAATATTACCATAGTAACAATGGACTACTTTGGGGAAGTGATCAGTAGTTGTTTGTTTTTTTTTTACACATTATGATATACCGTATTTTTCGCTCCATAAGACGCACTTTTTTCCCCCCCAAAAAAGGGGGGAAAATGTCAGTGCATCTTATGGAGCGAATATAAAGCGGCCGGTCAGGTATTTCCACCGCCACCGTGTCTCTGGGCATCCCCTGTACTGTCCGCAGTCTCTGGTCATCTCCTGTACTGTCTGCAGTCTCTGTTCATCCCCTATACTGTCCGCAGTCTCTGGTCATCTCCTGTACTGTCCGCAGTCTCTGGTCATCTCCTGTACTATGTCCGCAGTCTCTGGTCATCTCCTGTACTGTCCGCAGTCTCTGGTCATCTCCTGTACTGTCCGCAGTCTCTGGTCATCTCCTGTACTATGTCCGCAGTCTCTGGGCATCCCCTGTACTGTTCGCAGTCTCTGGTCATCTCCTGTACTGTCCGCAGTCTCTGTTCATCCCCTATACTGTCCGCAGTCTCTGGTCATCTCCTGTACTGTCCGCAGCTCTGGTCATCTCCTGTACTATGTCCGCAGTGTCTGGTCATCTCCTATACTGTCCACAGTCTCTGGTCATCCCCTGTACTGTCTGCAGTCTCTGGTCATCCCCTGTACTGTCTGCAGTCTCTGGTCATCTCCTGTACTGTCCGCAGTCTCTGGTCATCTCCTGTACTATGTCCGCAGTCTCTGGTCATCTCCTATACTGTCCACAGTCTCTGGTCATCCCCTGTACTGTTTGCAGTCTCTGGTCATCCCCTGTTGTCCGCAGTCTCTGGTCATCTCCTGTACTGTGTCCGCAGTCTCTGGTCATCTCCTGTAGTATGTCTGCAGTCTCTGGTCATCTCCTGTACTGTGTCCGCAGTCTCTGGTCATCCCCTGTACTGTGTCCGCAGTCTCTGGTCATCTCCTGTAGTCTGCAGTCTCTGGTCATCTCCTGTACTGTGTCCGCAGTCTCTGTCATCTCCTGTACTGTGTCTGCAGTTTCTGGTCATCTCCTGTACTGTGTCCGCAGTCTCTGGTCATCTCCTGTACTGTGTCTGCAGTCTCTGGTCATCTCCTGTACTGTGTCCGCAGTGTCTGGTCACTTCCGGTACTATGTCTGCAGTCCATTGGTTCAGAATATTTTTTTTCTTGTTTTTCTCCTCTAAAACCTAGGAGCGTCTTATGGTCAGGTTCGTCTTATGGAGCAAAAAATACGGTACCCAAAATTATAGAGAGGAGGTGGACACAAAACTGGGACATTGCATTTCATAACATTATAGAGACATTGAGGACATAATAAGAAGCCAAATTACCTTTTGTTTTCAGAATATCTCCAGTCTGCTTTACATTATATGGCCATGCATGCATTAGAAGAGTAGCAGCGTGAATGTTTCTTCCCATTTTGGGACTTAAAAGGGTTGATTTACTAAAACTGGAGAGTGAAAAATCTGGTGCAGCTCTGCATAGAAGCCAATCAGCTTCCAGTTTTTTTTAATGACAAAGCTTAATTGAAGAAGCTGAAGTTAGAAGCTGATTGGCTACCATGCACAGCTGCATCAGATTTAACGCTCTCCAGTTTTAGTAAATAAATGAGTAGAGTGAGATCATTTGTTTAGCTACAGCTCCAAAACTGAGAGAACCTCTGCATTTCTCAACAAACAGGAAAATACAGTTTGGAAAATAACATTGATCAAGTGGGACGTGGAAATGAAAAAAAAAAACCCTTAGGGCATTGCAGAACCCAGCAACAAAAGAGCAAAGCAGAGAAAAATAGTAGCAAAGAGAATAAAAATATTTCATTCATACAATGCATAGACAAATTCAATAGAAAGCTGACACCTTTCAGTTGACATGTCAACCAGCTATGCTACGCCAATGTCATAGGACAGTCTGATTCCCCATCAGCTTCAGCAAGGTCAATTCAATTGCCCATTTGGTTCCACATTTCACAATTGTATCGATGAGGAAAATTGATAGGTATTCTCCCGGCACCAAACCCCAAACTTATAAATAGGAAGAGGTATGCATGTAGATAACTGGGACTTCCAAATTGCCATATGAAATTTACAAAAGGTTTAAAAACACTTAATTCTAAAATATATTGATAAAAATACATATCAATAAATGAAGAAGTGGTGGTAGTCACCGACACATAATTATACACAAAATGAAATCCACATTAAATTTCTATTGTACATAAAATACTACAAGTATTGAGTTTAGACTGCTTTACAATAGTACAATAATTAAGTAAATATTGATTTTAGTTATCCAATCATGAGAAAAGCAAATTACCCTTCAGTCTGAATATCCAGTCAGTGCAGACGAATTCACTATATCTGGTCTCCCACAATACACACAACACAGAAATTCTATTATTTTAGTAAATATAAACTGTTAAATACCTTTTCCCATCAGCAGTATATAGAAGTGTTAGGACTACTGTCAGTGTCCAGCTGAGCACTGGTTAAAGCTTGTAGGAGGAGTTTTCATTCTCCTATGATTGACCTATGAGGCTGCATAACCCCTGTTCCTCTGTCTGGACAGTGTTGACTGGTCCTGTGCTGATCACATGCACCCTCCCAAAGACAAAAAGAACAACTCTCTAGCCATATACATGAAACTGAGCATGGGCTCTGTACTATCAGCAGATGGATCGGGGACAGTAGAAGAAGGGGAGGACCAGAGAAAACAGGCTCAAACAGCCTTTTTACACAATACAAAAGAATAACCCCTTAGGTTCCACAGTGAGTATACCAAGCATGCTTTACTGCATATACAGACTGATTTTACTGTTGTGGGTTTAGTAACACATAAAGAAAACAAGAATTTGTTTTTTATATAATGGAGATAGAAATTGAAAAATGGAAGAGGAGTAACCTTATTATCTATAAATTGTAAAATATCCCTAATAATAATAATATTGTATATGTTAGACACACTAATATGTTTTTTTTTATATTGTGGCAAAAAACACAATAAAAACATAATTTGTAATATTTGCAGTACACTTGGGTAAAATGTTAATTTTTAAGCCTTCTAAGTTTATAATAAGGAAGTTATAAGAGTGACAAGATTCTATTTTATGGTTGGGTCCAATGACCTCTTGGTAGCTTCTGTCCCCAGTGTATAAATAAATCATAGCTAACATATTCTTCAACAGGGTAATTACAGGTAATCTACTATATTATAAAAATGATAAAAATGAATGCCATAGACATCCTGTTGATTGGATTGTACAGTGTATGTGTGTATTGTTTCCGCAGAAAAGAAATATGTTAATAGTAAGGAAGATGCCATCCGAAGACAAATTTGGGAGGAAACTTGGCAGAAAGTACAGAAGCACAATAGCTTGGCTGAGAAAGGATTGAAGAATTATACTTTGGCAGTGAATATGTTTGCTGATAAGGTGAGTCAAAAAGTTCAAGAAACTATATGCATTGGTAAAAGTGAATACCGTATTTGCCGGCGTATAAGACGACTGGGCGTATAAGACGACCCCCTACTTTTCCTGCTAAAATGTAGTGTTTGGGCTATACTCGCCGTATAAGACTACCCCTCTTCCAATGCACACCAGTGGGAGGAATAGTGCCCCATCATCGGTGTCAGTGGGAGGAATAGTGCCCCATCATTGGTGTTAGTGGGAGGAATAGTGCCCCATCATCAGTGTCAGTGAGAGGAATAGTGCCCCATCATTGGTATTAGTGGAAGGAATAGTGCCCCATCATTGGCATTAGTGGCAGGAATAGTGCCCCATCATTAGTATCAGTGGGGGGAATAGGTGCCCCATCATTGGTATCAGTGGCAGGAATAGTGTCCCATAATTGGTATCAGTGGGGGGAATAGGTGCCCCATCATCATTGGTATCAGTGGCAGGAATAGTGCCCCATCATTGGTATCAGTGGGGGGAATAGGTGCCCCATCATTGGTATCAGTGGCAGGAATAGTGTCCCATCATTGGTATCAGTGGGAGGAATAGGTGCCCCATCATTGGTATTAGTGGCAGGAATAGTGCCCCATCATTGGCATTAGTGGCAGGAATAGTGCCCCATCATTAGTATCAGTGGGGGGAATAGGTGCCCCATCATTGGTATCAGTGGCAGGAATAGTGCCCCATCATTGGTATCAGTGGGAGGAATAGTGCCCCATCATTGGTGTCAGTGGGAGGAATAGTGCCCCATCATTGGTGTCAGTGGGGGGGGGGGGGGGAATAGTGCCCCATCGTTGGTGTAGTGGGGGGGAGGAATAGTGCCCCATCGTTGGTGTCAGTGGGAGGAATAGTGCCCCATCATTGGTGTCAGTGGGAGGAATAGTGCTCCATCATTGGTATCAGTGACACCAATGATGGGGCACTATTCCTCCCACTGACATCAATTACACTTGCTGACCCTGTTCTAGTATGGTGCTGCTGCAGCCAGCATATGTGGTTGCAGCAGCACCTCTACACTGAACACTTACCTGCTGCTCTTGCACTAGATTTTCGTGGGGCCTCTCGGCTCCGCCCCCTCACCGGTGATTGGCCGCCTGTTTGCCTTTCCTGAGCTACAGTTCTGGCGGTCAATCACCGGTGAGGAGGCGGAGCCGAGCAGCCGCGTGAACATCCAGTGGCCGAACTGAAGGAGCAGCCGCTCTTCCTGGACCGGATCGTCGTGGGACCAGAGCCAGGTAAGAAACAGCCCCTGCCCACCCCTGTACTTAGTGTCCCTTCCGTTGGAAGGGGGGGGGCGGCGGCAGCACCGCGCCGCCCCCCTAAGAAGTGTCAGTATGCCGTATACCGGCGTATAAGACGACCCCTGACTTTTGAGAAGATTTTCAAGGGGTAAAAAGTCGTCTTATACGCCGGAAAATACGGTACTTGCTTTTGTTGGAAAAAGTAATAGATACACGAAGGAGCTTATTTAATAAAACTGGAGAATGCAAAATCTGGTGCAGCTCTGCATATAAACCAATCAACTTCCAGGTTTTATTGTCAAAGCTTAATTAAATTAAAACAAGCTGAAGTTAGAAGCTGATTGGCTACCATGCACAGCTGCACCAGTTACCGAGTGCTCCAATTTTAGTAAAACCCCCCCAATGGGTGTTCACTTAGGAAAGTGAATGCTCATCTTGAAAAGTGTATGTTTATTTTTGCAGAATTAATTATAGTAAATAGGTTTCACATTGTATTCACATTGAATAAATTATCGTGTGCGAGGGAAATTTTAAAAAATTGTGTTTATGCTAGCATATGATTGGTTGATTTAAGTGAACACAGATTCATCCTATTTACTAAGCTCAGTGCACATCCATTAGAAAGTCTCTATTTCAAGCATTGTCTTAATGCACAAGGAATGTTATTATATTAGAAAATGCCTACAAGGTGCTTTACAGCTGGTATTATACGCCTGCCCGGCTGGCTCGTTTTATTGCCTCATATTCTCTGACTTGCTTTTGGGGTTGTCAACAAATAGACACCATGGCTCATATTTGGTGGACTTGCCCCAAGGTATGCAGACTATAGATTAGGGTCTATGCCCTTCTCCGCACTATGCTGCACACAGATATTAAGCGCAACCCATACGAGACGCTATTATTTAAACCATTAGTAGGCCTACTCCATCCTGAGCGGCAGTTGGCATCGCATCTATTTATGGTTACCAAATTGACAATCGCGAGAGCTTGGAAAACCCCTCTTCTTAGCTTCGAAGCCGTTAAGAACTGGATGAATTATATAATGGTTAATGAGAAGCTAACGGCCATGCTGTTAGACACCCACACAAAGTTTTTGCAGATCTGGCGTTCCAGGATTGATGTGGCTCAACCGTCTAGATATGACCAGACCCTCTTGTCGATATACGACTCTCCTGGCGCGATCCCCTGGAGCCCTTTCTTTGTATTTACTATTCTTATTTCTCCTTTCTTTACTTTTCTCTTTTTTTTCTCTTTCTTTCCATTGTTTTTGTCAGTCTTCATGTTACTTGCGCTGATTGGAATACTCCTAGAGAATTGTGCCTGTAATGTTTTATATAACTGTCAGACTTTCTCGAGAGTCCTTGGTGTAGAGTTCCGATGTGCATCCAGTGAGACTCCATGCTCAGTTTTTCCTACCATCTGTATGCGATTTTGGTGGCTATTCTTGGCCTTTTCCTACTAGCTCATTGGTCACTACTTGTTGCTGTTAACGCAATTTATAAGGTTTCATTCCATCCTTTTATATTTTGTGTTTATGTACTCCGTTTCTCTCTGTGTTAATACTTCAGTGCATTTGTTATGTCCCTCATCAGAAGAATTTTACACCTTATTCTTTTGTGTCAATGATCTTGCTTTTGACTGTTTCTTTGGTGTTGTGTTGTCTATTATAAAATCCATTGTAAAAGAAAGTCTCTATTTCTTGTGCAGTTGTTTTTATTGAATGTTTCCTGAAACAAAAATGCTTTGATCAAGGTTTCATATGAGAATATCACCCAAGAGGAAACTATGTATGTACTACCCGATCATGTCTGCCTGTCAGTTTTTCAGGTAGACCTAATTGGATGCTCCATGAAAGTGTATGGGCAAGCGGGTGTAAACAGGCTTGTGTCCAATTACTTCAGCCTATCTCCACGCTCGTCCAGGTCCATAGCTAAACGTAGCAGGTCAAAGGTAGCCTGATGCAAACAGACACCATTTGTTAAAGTCCGTTTATATCCAGCTGATCTTATAGCCATCACAAGTCCACCACAGTCCACTGTCAAAACTGACATCCATCCTGTTCTGCTCTGATCCAGCAGGGGATCTGCTCACAGATCCCATGCTGAACAGAGTGGACAAAGCCTGCCGGAAAGGACCCTTATGTTCTTAAAAAAAGTCTCTCATTCTTTAGTAAAACAAACCCATATTAGTATTGTTTTCAGTGGTTGGCTCTTTGGTATATAAGAAATACAACAGAATGGATAACTGATATATTAGCAAACAGAGGATGTTGCTGTTGTGGCCCATTTTTGCATCATGCATTACTGGATGACATTAACAATTTAGGAATGTTTCAGTGATGCATGTGATGACAATATAAAACTGCCAATAATTAAACTAAAATAGCTTACGGAAAAGTAGGTCTGTTAAAAGGATAAATTATAATGAGATGTGTTTCTGAAGCAGTTTGGGTTGGATCTTATGGGCCAGAGTTTTCCTCCATATAATTTTGCATTCAATTTTTTGTGTTTTTTAGTGAACACATAATACCAATTGCATCCAAATAGTTTGCCACATAAAAGTCATTGCGTATGTAAACAAAAGTAACTTAGCATCTCAAACACATCTCAGTTGCAATCCATTTGTCCTGAATGCTTACTACCTTTGACCCACCAACATTTACATGTCAAAAGCTGTAACATCCGAAATATACTTGTCTCAATTAATGAAATAAAATATAATAGAAACCAATGTCTATTTTTTCTGCCTATATGTTCTCTTATTCTCATACCATTTAGAGCTACTCTTAAAAAAAATGTATTTTTTAATCACAGCTTCTATATGCTACAATCATATCTGAATGTATAATGATTTATAAAATTCTTGCTACAGACTGTACAAGAACTGATACAAAGAAAACCATGTGATGCAAAGCGGATTCAGTCAAAACCAGATACAAAACCAATATCCACTTCAAATTACACTTGTGATAGCAAGAAAAAGGCGGAGGATTTGGTGGATTGGAGAACTTCGGGATGTGTCACCCCTGTAAAAAAATTAGGACTGTTTTGTCAAGCATGGTGGGCTTTTGGCATGGTAAGGAAAGTTTATATGCTTAGAATCACATGCAAAATTTGACAGATTAGTTACATTTCATGTTTACCATGTTGACAGTGGGGGGGGGGGGATATAGTGTCCCTTCATCAAGGTCAATGGGAGAAACAAAAGCTTCAGCATCAGTAAAAGGTATAAAGATCACCACCGGCATTGGCGTCAGTAAGAGGAATATAGAGCACCAGCATTGGTGTCAGTTAGAGGAATATAGAGCCCCAGTACTGCTGTTGTTAAGAGTAATATAGAGTAATATAGAGCCCCAGCATTGGTGTCAGTTAGAGGATTATAGAGCCCCAGCATTGGTGTCAGTTACAGGAATATAGAGCCCCAGTATTTGTGTCAGTAATAGGAATAAGAAGTCCTAGCATTGGTGTCAGTTCGAGGAATATAGAGCCCCAATACTGTTGCCGTTAGGAGTAATATAGAGTAATATAGAGCCCCAGCATTGAGCCCGAGCATTGAGTCAGTTAGAGAATTATAGAGCCCCAGCAATGGTGTCAGTTAGAGGAGTATAGAGCCCCAGTATTTGTGGCAGTAAGAGTAATAAGAAGCCCCAGCATTGGTGTCAGTTAGAGGATTATAAAGCCCCAGCATTGGTGTTAGAGGAATATAGAGTCCCAGTATTGGTGTCAGTAAGAGAAATATGAAGCCCCAGCATTGGTGTCAGTTAGAGGAATATAGAGCCCTACCAATGGTGTCAGTTAGAGGAACATAAAACCCTGATATCGGTGTCAATTAGAGAAATCAATTTTTACTGAAATTTCCAAAAACTATACATTTTCTAAGCGGGATTCCTGTAGAGGTAATCTGTGATTATTATTTCAGGTACTTATATTGTGCTGTCAATTTATGCAGTGCTTTACATTCACATCAGTCCCTAACCCTCAAGGGTTGTACAATCTAAGGCCCCTTACTCGTATTCATACATCCACATACTAGGGCCAATTTAGACAGGAGCCAATTAACCTACAAGCATGTCTTTGGAGTGTGGGAGGAAACCGGTGTGCCTGGAGGAAACCCATGCAGGCACAGGGAGAACATGCAAACGCCAGGCAGGTGATGCTGTGGTTGGGGTTTGAACCAACAACCTGAGCACTGCTAGGCGGAACTGCTAACCATTTAGCCACTGTGCTGCCCCTGAATAATTCTCCTAAAAATATTCACCAAGCCAGATTTTTTCAGAAAAATTGCAAGGTTGTAATTAGACACATACAAACAATAAAAACTAAAAAAATTTGACCAAATATGAAAAAAAAATGGAGGACTAAAACATCTATAATTAAATAATCTGTACTTGTGTAATTACTATTCTAAATATGTTAAACCTCTAGCAGGTACAACAATAGATTTTGAATTAGGGATTCTGTGTTTGCCTGTGTGTTTAAAGTGTGTGTACGGATATATGAATGTGTATGTTAAATGTTTTTTCTTTCATTTCTCTTAACGTTTTTGGGATTCATTTATTACTGTAACACTGAACCAATGCTGTACACAATGTATGGGAACCTACTTTACAGTCTTAGTGCTCTTTAAGGCTTTTATTGGTGATCGGATAACCATCCTTATACTCAAGTGGTGTACACACACGGGGGTTGATTTTCTTAAACTGGAGAGTGCAAAATGTGGTGCAAGTGTGCATGGTAGTCAATCAACTTCTAACTTCAATTAAGCTTTGACAAAAAAGACATGGCAGCTAACTGGCTTCTGTTCAAAGCTGCACCAGAACTAATTTGGTGTCACTGAAATCCCTAGTGACACCAATACAGTGATCAGTGCTTAAAAAGCACTGACACTGTACTAATGGCACTTGGCAAGAAGGAGTTAACATGTGGGGCGATCAAAGGGTTAACTGTGTGCTGTTTTACTACATAGGTTGTGTTCTGCGTTTCACTGTAAGCACACTGCTTTGTGTGGCTCTGCTATGCAGAGCCATACAAAGCGATGTGCAGGAGCTGACAGGGAAGAGAACTGTATTGTTTACATACAGGTCTCTCCCCTCGTCTGACATACTCGGGAATCACCGGGTGCCGGCGAGTAATCACCGGCCGGGACCCCGGCGATTGACAACCGAGACCGCAAATGGTGGTGTGGGTAGGGCGCGTGCACGGCTCGAGCACCCCCCCACCTGGAACTGCAAAATCATGTATATATACAAGATTTTGCACACCCCTGTCGCCCTGTAGTAGTATTTCTGCTATAGGGCAGAGAGGAAGTGGTTAAAATAGTCATGTCCGATTTCTGAGAAGTGCCTTCAGGTTCAGGTGCGGATTACAGGCTATTGACTTCTATGGGAACAGTTTATAAACCGCACATGTGTGAACAAGATAAGATAATCCTGTCCTGAACCTGATGTAAACCTGACCTGGACCGCTGATACTACTGTATCAATTAGCTGTGAAACCTGAGCTTCAATCCGCACTGCATATGTGTGAATCAGCTCTCAAAAAAGGCTTTGATGTTATTTATTTAGCTGTTTCTTTCTGCAGATTATAATAAAATATTAACTGTCATACATTTTTTAAATATATTTTTAAAATCCTAATTACTTATTTACTGTTAAATTCCAGAAACAACAATTTAGGTATTCAGATGATTGGCATTTTTGTTTACCGGCGCAATGTAATTATTCAAAAGCAATCATCATCAATACCAGTCTATTGCCCATGTATACAAAAATTATAGAAGAAATCCTTTGATTTTTGTTATATTACATAAACATCTACCTGTGCATTGATGGGTTAATAAGCAGACTGCACATACTAGTGTAGGTGTCCCTTTTATCATGCAGTGGTAAATGACTGCTGCTCAGTTCTCCGGCATTCTCAGAGGAGACAGTTCTCCTCTGAATCCCTTTTTATGAAGCGGTGTAGATCACTTCTCCGAATGAAGGGAGAAGCGATCTATAAACACTTTGAATGCTGTAAAATGGCTGCTTTTACTATAATCTCACAAGATTACAGTAAGAGATCAGTCAAACACCGTTTACTAAGCAGAGGTAAATTATCGCTGCTTCGTTTGCGGTTCCTCCGATTCTCCAGCTCTGGGCTGGAGAATCTGGAGAGAGAACACAGATTGCCAGTGAAGGGCTGACATCGCTCCTTCATACACTGGCAGTCTGTGTGTTGAGATGATCAGTGGAGAACATGTTCACCGCTGATCATCTCTGTTTCCTAAACCACTAATGATCAGAGATCAACAACGATCCTCAGGATCACTGCTGATCTCTGTTTCTTAAAAGGACACCTTGAGCAGTAAACTAATACACACAAAAGTGATCATGCATTCTGGTGTCCGTTTATGAACCAGCGGTAATAGATCGTTGCTCAGTTCTCCGGCATTCTTGGAGAACACAGTTCTCCTGTGAATGCAGTTTATGAAGCAGTTCTCCGAACGAAGGGAGAACGGTCTCCAAACGCTGGAGAACAGTCTACAAACGCTGGAAAACGGCTGATTTTACTATAATCTAGCGAGATTACAGTAAAAGATCAGTTTACTAAACAGAGGTAAATTATCTCTGCTTAGTTTGCGGTCCCTCTGATTCCCCAGCTCTGGGCTGGAGAATCTGGAGGGAGAACACAGATCTCCAGTGAAGGGCTGACATGATCTCCTGAGTGTCATAAACTGTGAATGACCAGAGAATAGCTGAGATCTGTTGAATCGCAGCTATTCTCTGTGTCATAAACGGACACCAAAGTGCGCTAACAGCAACCAATCAATTTAGTGAAATGAGAATGGTAGAAGATGAATTGCTGTGGGTTACTGCACTTTGTCCATTGCTGTTTGTCTTACTAAATAAGCCAGGGCTCATTTAAAGACGTAAGTTTGCAACTGTCAACTAACGGGGATCTTGCACACGATACTGATGTATAGATCCCGGATCTTCCTGGAATAAAGTTCCTGTGCAAAAATAAAAAGTATGGTCTGCAAGTAAAAATTCTTCTAAATTGCAGAATGATAAATAATCAAATAATGTAATTACTGTTCAAGGGGGAGGAAGAGTTTACACATTTAGTCGCTCATATTTACTCATGTAAAATACTGACTAGTAAGGCAGATTTCTGTTGTTGTTGTTTTACTGATCTAAATGTGGCGCTAGCTTACAGATATTTACACGTCTTTGTGAACAGATCCACTGAAAGCAATGGGCTGTATTTAGATCAGTAAAAAAATGCCTGAATGCCTAAACACATGGTGTTTTTGATGTTTGTATAGAAGAGCCATGATGACGTGATCCATCCCAATTTTGTATTTGTCTTTGTCTTTTTAGATGGGAGTCCTAGAATCACGGCACTGTATTAAAAATAAGCGCCTATTTAAATTCAGTGAACAACAACTGATTGACTGTAATGATGATAATGACGGCTGCTGTTCAGGAACATTTGAATCCAATTTTAAGTATGTTAGTGAACAAGGGGTCATGGTGAGCAAGAATTATGAATACAATGAAGGGGTAAAGTATTTCTCTTATTTATGTATTTCATTTTCACATTAAGGAGAGTTGGATGCAGGGGCGGACTGACCATTCGAGCACTAGGGCACTGCCCGAGGGCCTGGCATCAGTAGAGGTACCATGAGATGCCCCTGGTACCTTTTATTTGGCTTTTTCATAGGCTTTTTTGGGTGTGGGCGAGGACACAGGGGCCCCATGAGCCCCTATTGCCCTGGGGCCCCATGAGTTGTCAGTCCGCCCCTGGTTGGATGTTTAATACAATGTATTCACAATTGCCATAAACATTAACATCTTGGGACTAGTAATGGGCCGAACACCCTTGTGTTCAGTATCGCAGGGGAACGTTCAAACCTAAGGGATGTTCGGCCGCGACCTTCAATCTCAATGCAAGTCTGTGGGACTCGAACTAGTAAATTCAAAAGTGCCCATTTTGAAGGCTTACTGTATATGCAAATTATTGGCCATAAAAGGGGTATGGGGACTTGGGTACTGTCCTGAGGGACAATAATCAGTGAAAAATATTTCAAAAAGTACAATTTTTAAAGGAGCAGTCATTTTTCTTTGCTTAAAGTGACAAAAAAAGAAAAATTCCTTTAAATATCATGCCTGGTGGTCTCCTTAAACTACCTGCAAAGTTGCACATCCGTACAATGTATAGAACCTGCTGCAGCAGGACTGATATTATTTTTCAAAAATTAAATTTTTATAAAAAAAAAACAAAAAAAAACAGCGTGCCCCCCCCCCCCCCCCCAGTCCATACTAGACCCTTTAGTTCTGGTAGGATGGTTAGAAGGGACCCCACAGTAAAGCTTTTTTTTTTTCAAGTGCGTGGGGTTCCCCTAAAAGCCCTACCAGGCCTTTTAGGCCTAGTAGGACGTTTAAGGGGAACCTCACCTCCAAAATATGAGGGGGGAAAAGTGCATGGGGTTCCCCTTAAAAGCCATACCAGGCCCTTTAGGCCTGATATGAGTTTTAAGGGGAACCCCACCACCAAAAACCGGGGGGGGAGTGTGGGGCCCCCCTAAATTCCTACCAGACCCTTGTTTCGAGCACAGGCCTGGCAGGGCCTAAAATAAGGGGGATTGGCCCCATGCCGATGGAGACAAGAGCCTCTTCCCCTCAACCCTGGTCCGGTGGTTGTGGAGGTCTGCAGGACGGGGGGGGGTCATTAGCATCAGGGTACCCTTTAACCACTTGCCTACTGGGCACTTCCTGCCCAGGCCAATTTTCAGCTTTTAGTGCTGTCGCACTTTGAATGGCAACTGCATGGTTATGCAACACTGTACGCAAACAAACTTTTTATAATTTTTTTGAGACAGAGCTTTCTTTTGGTGGTATTTGATCACCACTGGGTTTTTTATTTTTTGCTATACAAACGAGAAAAGACCATACATTTTGAAAAAATAAGTTTTTTCTTAGTTTCTGTTATAAAATTTTGTAAATAAGTAATTTTTCTCCTTTGCTGATGTGCGCTAATGAGGCTGCAGTGATGGGCACTGATAGGCGGCACTGATGATGCACTGATAGGCGGCACTGATGGGCACTGACAGGCATCACTGATGGGCACTAAAAGGCAGCACTCATCTATGACACTGATAGGCGGCACTGATGGGCACTGATAGGCACCACTGATAGGTGGCACTGATTGGAACTGTGTCATCAGCTCTTTACTGCGATCGGTGATCCGCTGTGTCCCAGGAACACAGCGTACTGGAAATGACGTCACCACACTTCCTCCAATTCCGTTCCAGGATGGAAGCCTGGTGATGTCATTTCCAGTATGGACGGCAGCCGCCCATCTTGGTACACCTCAGTGTAATACACCTCTCTGCTATTGCAGTTTTACATGCCTGTATGGGTCTGTGGACCCTCTTTTTTAATGTGAGTAGTCACGCTGCTTCTTTTATTCAATAAATGTTTTTGCTTACTACACTCTGGGAAGTTTTTGATTTAATTTTCCATGTGGCACACTTATGAGTGCTCACCGTATCCACCATAGAGGATTGCCCTGACAAGTATCAAGGGGATATACATGTATAACATTGGTTGAGTGCATTTAAAGTTTTATGTCCCCGTGTGGGTCAAAGCCTGAAGGTGAACGCGCTCGCTAGCTGGTGGAGGATTGTTTTTTGCAGTGGTCACTGGATGTTTCACGTTTTTTTGCTGAAGATACACAGATTCATTGGGACAGTGCACTTTATTGTTGCATTTTCACATCTATTTGTTCACTATATATTTATACGATGCATGTTACTTTGCTCACTTATTATTGATCACCTTATTCGGTCACTTTTGTGTGTTTATTGATTTGCTCTGTGATTTGCTTTTATATTGTCACTTTTATACTGTCATTTTAATACAGTCACCTTTATTCACACTGTGCGGGTTTGTTTTTTCTTTGTATTCATTGAGTGATCCATGTTATTTATTTACAATTATTTTTACTCACCTATTATTGATCACCATATTTGGTCACAAATGTTATTGTTTTGCCTTATGATTTATACTGCACAGGTTGGTTTACTTTGCATTTATTGAGTAGCGCAGCATCAATCGGTTATTCATTTTATACACTATTGGGATTATAGTTAGGTGTTTGCGGCCACTCTGGGTTGTTTAGGGTTATTGGCAGCGCAGGAGGATCTCTTTATTGATTTCCCTTAAAAGTCCTACCAGGCCTAAATGGCTTTTTAGGGGGAACCCCATGCACTCTTTTTTAAAAATGTTTTATTGTGGAGTCCCTCCTAACCTTCCTACTAGACCTAAAGGGCCTGGTATGGATTGGGGGGGTGGGGGCGCTGTTTCTTTTTTTTATGCATTTTTTGTTTTATTTTTATTTGTTTTTTCATTTTTGTTTATATTTTTTTATTATTATCATTATTATTTATTTTTTTTGGAGAGAATTTTCTCCCCTCTGTCTTTGGCAGTGTCCAGCAACACACTGCATGAGGCTGCAATGTAAGCAGCCTTATATGATGTGGGTCATGGACTTAGCTGTGAGCCATGATTGGCCAAAGTCAGCGTGACTTTGGCCAATCATGGCTCTCACAGTACATTGTGCTGTGATTGGCCAAAGCATTGCACCCAACTTGCGGTCAGGTGCATTGTTTTGGCCAATCATGGCTCTCACAATGCACTGTGAGAGCGCAGTGCATTGTGAGGTGCTTACCATTCGTGTGTTCGAACACATGAATGCCCAATGTTCGAATAGAACTTACATTTGACTTGAACATAGAGCTCAACACTACTTTGGACCCATTCGCACTGTTGAGCTGTAGTACTGCACAGTAAAACCTACATTTTACTATGATGCATGAAAATGCACCAGGTCTATGTGCCATACACTGGGTACCATTCATTGGAAATGCCACTCCAATGAACTATACTGTGAAGCGCAATGGTGCAACACAAAACACATACTGTACACCATGGTGTACTGCATTGCAAATAAAGGGTCATGTGTATTTTTTTGTCCACTGCACGTTCAGAATGAATAGGTTTGCCATAACACGGATTTAACATATGATGCAACGCTCATTAGTGCACCTATCTTAATGAACCGCAACAGATTACTAAAGTGTGAAAAGATCCTGTGGGGTCTAAGTACTAATAGTTTGCTGAATGAATGTGAAACACATTCGTACAGATACAACAAAACTTGCTGGTTCTGCGTCATGTAACTATCTTGTACAATTGAGGCACCTTGTACTGGCCAAAATGCCGTGTTTGCTTTTGACTACCTAAACTTGCAAAGAAAAGGAGTTTTGGCCACTAGATTGCCCTCGATCAGACAAAATAGGTAAATAATATAGAATTCTGGAAAGAAGAATGAAGCAACCGAATGCATGTGATCCTGCGCTGGACTGTGGACTCCACAATATCAGTATCCTCACATGAGTAAGAGAGGAATGCAAGCCTTGCTGCCCTCAACGGACCAGGGAAATCCAAAGAGAACTGCATATAAGAAACAAAAAGAGGGTGCACAGGCCTGGTGCATTACCTTAAAAAATGGGATTTATTTATAAATTGTAAAATACTCACAAAGAAATGTAAAATCAGATCAAAATAGGAAGCATGTCGCAAGGGATGCAGAGTGGTTCAGGAACCCCTGTGGGTGGTCTGGTGGGGGACTGTGAACCTCTGGATAGCTGGTGGCTGATGCGTTTCGAGGTTGTACCTCTTCCTCAGAGACAATCGTGTCAGTGCGTTTACTCACTTAACTCTTCCTCCTCCATACCTGTGCACAGGCTGAGGACCTCTGCGGTGCTGATCTGCTCCTGTTGATATAGGAGACTGGTTGCTCGGAGAGAGTGCCTCCAACAACTCCTTCCTTCAAGAGGCTATCTCACCTGCCACAGGCACACACTTAGAACAGGCCGCAGGTGAAACCTTTGTTACCCTTGGTAACCACTTACGTCTTCATACCCCAATGTGTCTTAACTGACCCACTCTTTAGACTAAGTATGCTGGTTACTTACATACACTCCTTTAGTAACTTAAGACAAGGAAACAGTTCCAATGCTTTACTTGAAATAACTTAAATATGACAGATAAACAAGGGCAAAATCTGTCCCTAAATGAATCCCTAACTACGGCTTGTGGCTGCCCCAGCATGCCTGCACAGATAAGAGTCCATGATCAAGAAAGTCCCTAAAGGCAGATCTCCAGAACTATTGTTTCAGGCTGGACTGCAGGTCTGAGCAATCTCTCTATGTTGCCGAAGGCCTCTACAATCAGATGTACATTAGTAGGTGCTCTGGACTCGGCATGATACACCAGGCTGACAGGACGGACTCCAGCAACAGCATAGAGACACTCCCACGATCTCTCTCCCTTTTAGATGTACA